TCTCCTCTCACCCTAGCAAGGTTTGATACTAAACACATTCACAGGGAAACCTTTTGTCAAAGAGTGCTGAACCTTTTAAACATGGCAGGTTATGATGTACCCTGACAGAATGGACTGTACAATTCCACCCACCACCACCACCACCATGGTACCGTCATGTCACTAGCAGGTGATGATGGGGATGAAGGCCTGGAAAAGGCTGCTGGGAACCTCCAGCAGCCACCACCAAAGCCACTGCCTCCTGCCACACTGCCAGAAGGCCATGTTGAAGAAAAAGTGTGAGGGCAGTGCCCTCTCAAAGAGAGTAGTTGCTTGTAGTCTCATAAAAGAATAAAAAAACACTGTTTTGAAGACAGTGTTTATTGTGAAGGTGTCAGCTTCCGATCTTTGCACCTTTCAACAACTCCAGAAAGTGCAATGCCCAGTGACCTGCCCTTAGCAAGGCACCTTGCCATCTCTGGCTATATTTAAATCACACAACTTTCACTGTGATACTTCCCTAGGAGAAATTTAGTTTGGGTGATACCGCATACACACAAAAAAGCAAATTATGAAAGGGATTAATGCTATCAGAACAATGGCCAGTGTTCTCATTTTGTTCTGAATTTTCACCTTTTCCATGAAGCTGTGGTGTTCTCAGCATACGAGGAACAGAGACAGCAGAAGCTGGTCTTTAGGAAGCAAACTGCATGTGAAATGGCATATGAAGTATGCTAAGACAGATTGGGTAACCTCATTTTTAAATGTGTCTGTAGATGAAAAAATTATTAGTACAAAACCTAATTTCAGTAGGCTCTGGAGTCACATCACATTCAGTGAACAACCCTCTTTGTGATTTTCTGACCCATCACCGTTTCCAACTCCTACATATCCTAAAATACTTGTGAAATGAGGGTCCAGTTACACTTGTTACTAGAAAACTGCAAGGAAAGACACTCCCTACACTAATTGTCTTTCTTTCTCCCACTTCTGTAGCTGATTAGAAATGTGGTAAATCTGTAGTAAATAACTACTGGAAAATGTTGACAAGTTAATTGGGCTCGTAACTGCGAAGGCAATGAGACATTTCTGCAACTGTTTAGATCAGAATTGTCACATGTAAGTCAGTTAAAAAGGTGTCACATTTAATTCTACAAAGAGCACATGGAGATTAAATCAAGTTTCAGGCTCGAATTACAGTGCAGGATGGATAATTACCGTAGCAGAACATGTACTTGGAAACAAAAACCTTTTGTAGAGCACAAACACCTGGAACAGAATTACAGTGAAAATTAATGTTGAGTATCACAGAAAAAAAAAAAAAAAAAAGAGAAAAGGAATATTGAATAAAACCGTTATGCTACTTTTAATTGTGCGAATTCTCAGTGGGGACAGAGAAGGGCAGCTTTGAACAGACTTCCAAAACTTACTGAGGTGATGCTAGTGGTTCACTAAGAATCCATTTGTTCCCCAAAGCCAATGCTGCTTGCATCTTATTTGTTCCACAGTCCCCATATGCCTCATAGGTGGACTCCATGGATGTGCAGTCTGGAAAGCCTGCTTCAGTTAGAAATGTATATAAATCATAGCCACTTATAATGGTTAAAACCCCTATAAAAAGCCTAAGGTGAGCCTTGAGATCTGGGTCAATAGAACGGAAGTCTTTTACGTAACTGCCCTGCACCAAATTTTGCTAATTTTGCGTTCAGGCAAGTACAAATTGGCAATTTGTTCTTGCTACATATACTCTCAGATATTATAAACCTGTACCTGATTTAAACCCTACCAATAGTATATAGTGTGCTAATTAAAATGTGTATGACATTTCAACTCTATCTAGGTAAAATAGACTCAGGCAGGTGATGTGATGAATTACTGAATTTTACAAAATTTCATCTGTTATAAAAGCTTGGTGTCCTTGTTCAGCATACCACTGAATGTTCCTATGAATTGAGGGCACTTTGGGAAAAAGGACATACCTTTGAAAATAAATAACATCTTCACTTTGGAGTCACCTAATCTGTATGAGTTTGTTGGAATGCAGAGTGAGGCTAAAACACAATCTAAGTTATATATCATTACAACAAATGGCTACAAAGAGGTAGGAATTACAATATTATCAGTCCCAAGCACAGAAAAGTCTTTTGTCCCAGTTGCCAAGAATCATAATACTGCCCTCAAGCATCAAGGAATTTTAAAAGAAGTATGGGGTTTTTAGGGTTTATTTGATTTACAATTACTGATACTTTGATGCAGATTTATAATATTTTTTCTACAATCATAAGGTTTAGACATTTCCATTTAAAAAAGACAGAAATAAAACTTTGCATCTACTAGCAGGGCTGGAGGATTTAAAACTTCTTGAGTAAAAAAAAAAAGGTAATATATTTTTTCTCTTTCAGAAAAAAAAAGCTAGGTTAATGTGAAATCCATGCTATCTTAATCAGATATTGAGGACTGGTTTAGAGGAAGGTTTTCTAGCATAAAGTTAGGCATTTTCTTCAGCGTTTGTTTGTTATCATTTTTTGAAAACAGGAAAACAGACAGTAGCTCATATATTTTGCCTATAGATAGAACTACCCAGATACTGAGAAACCATTCCTGCTTCTCCAACATACAGTATACTACTGTTTACAGAGAATAGTTAGAATTTTTCTACTCAGGAAGAGATTGCTTTTTAAAGATGCATGAAATATTCCCATATATCATCTGTATACCACTTTCAATTGCCACTAAATAAAATAATTACATAAATCTGCAGTGTTGTTGTTGTTGTTTGTTAGGAAAAGCCCTCGGTAGATAACCAAAAGGGTTTTTGTTTAAACTAACTGATCTTTATTTCTTTTGAATTATTCCAGAGGAAATTGTGGGGTTTTTTCAACAGTTTATCCTTATTCTGAGTTCTTCCTTTTTTCTTATTTCAGACTTTATATAATCTTAGACATGACCACTGTGATGCTCTAATGTGATCTAAAATAAAGTGATGTAAACGCTTCCTTAATTTCCTATTTCTTTGAAATAGAGAAGAAGATTTGGGGAAAAAAGAACAAACTCACTATTGATCAAAAAATTTCAAGTGAGAGACAATCCTGCATAATCCTTAGAAGATGACCTTCATCTTTAAGACTGAGCTCTACTTCTGGACTGACTGTTTATGGTAAACTTTCAACCATTTGATGCCTCTTCTTTAAACAGTCTTTATGGTATGGAAAACCAACTGTATTCCCCATGAAGATACTTACAAACCGTGGCTTATTAATACAACGAGGTCATCTCTGTATTACAAATAAAAGGAAATGCACACAGTTTTAGTCTAGCAATTATTGAAGGATAGGAAATACCTCTAGAACTACAATTGCCAGGAAAACGACAAGCCTACTCAAAATAGCACCTATTCCATAAGAGATGTTCACAGTAGCTCTAGCATGAATCCTGTCCTGCTCATTCTGTGGAGGAAAAACACCCTGGGGGCTGTAGAAGTCATTTTGTTTTCGCACCCTGCAGACGGTTTGGAGACCTGCTGTATCTTTAAAGTACACTGATGTTATCATGTCAAGCTGTGACTGAAACATTTTCTATTAAGGCTGGAGCTAACACTATGATATAATAGATATTTTCCATTTCTAGCTTCTGTATGTGACCCTGTAGGCTGGAACTTTGCAACAAGGGCACTAAAATGGCAAATAGGATTTGAGGAATGTGTAGCTACAGTGCACTGTAAGTCCTGCAAGCCAGTCAGTTCTTTTTTTAATGTATAATTAAATTGTGGAACTCATTGCCTTGAGATGTTATGGAGGTCAAAAATATAAGTAGATTAAAAAAGAAGTAAAAAACCACCCCAAAAAGCAATGCTGAAGTACAAGTTAATGTGTAGTTGTTAAACACAGCATCTGGGATGTAACACCTAGGAAGAACAAGTGATTTAGGAAGTCCATAAGTCACTCACGGCTGGAAAGCAGAGTACATGTAATTTGGTACATGTTTTTTACACTGTAAGCACCTACTGATCACCCTTAGAAAGAATACACTGGGCTAAAATGTGCCAGTGTGAGTGCCATGCTAAAGCTCTGTGGTAGCTTTGTGAGTGACTCGCCAGAATGAGATATTCATTAGTCAAGGTGTCAAATACCCACTCACCAGCATTTCAGCACTTGCAAGGCCCAGCAGTGTGGTACAGAGCCATCCAAACAGGCCAAGAAGAAAGAGGCATCAAGGCAGCATGAAAGCAAGCACAAGTCTGTATTGTCCATTGATTTTTCCTTCCATCAGGCATTTCCCAGTGCACCACAGGAAAACATCTGAGAATGCATAAATCGGGAAACAAAGTGTTTTCAACTTGTCCAGAAATGTTACAAGCCTGATACTTCAAAGGTCCTCACTGTATGGAGACTATAATTCAGACTGCAGCAGAAATAACTGGTTGCATAGATACAGCCACTGAGCTGTGTCAGTCACCAAAGAAATGGCAGAAGCTGTTGTTTTTGCTTCCTGAGCTCATTTGCCTCTAGAGCTCAGTTGTGGAATGGCCTTTGTGGGCACTCCTAATCTGCTTCTGCACAAAGTCAGCTGGCGCCATTTAACCTATTGTTTAACATATCTGGAGCTAATCTTGGCTGACCTTTTGCTGAAGAAAATAAGAAACACTTGTATGAGCATTTCTACCAGCTCAGCTCTGATGACAGTGCCCTCCAGCAGAAAAGCAGTCATGTCTAAAACTTCCACAGATGCTTTCACAAAAGTTATTTAACATAACTCCACAGCTCAGTAACAGCTCACTGCCTGCACAGGCAAGGTGCAGCAGAGCAGAATGTGGTTGTTCTCCTTTTAATCCCTAGAACAGAGCTGTAGCTATGTCTCCACATAGACAGTAGGATGCCCAGACTGGGGAATTCAGACTTTTTTCTTTTTTCTTTGTTCTGCACAAGAAATAAAGACTCCAGGCTGTGTTACAGTCTTCTGATTAAATTGGCAGAGCTGGAAATCACAGATGTCATCTTGTACTGAAAAGAGTTCATCCCACCATGATTTCTGTTGAAAAACTGTTCCAGAACCTGATTCTTCTGATGATTAGAAACGTTCTGAATTTCAACTCTAAATTTATTCATGTCTTTTCTCCCTTCTTGGTGATTGCCATCTCACTGCCTGTGTATTTAGAGGCATCAATCATAACATTAGAAAGGACTTTATATAGAGCAATCAGGAGAAACATGCTTCAGTAAACATGATCTGAAATTGAAAAAAAGGGTGGCTTTATCAAATTTTTCATTTAAAGCACAACTTTGCTGTAACCACCTCCTCCCTGAATTTAAAAAAAAAAACAAAACAGATCTTCCATTTGAAGGCAAAATGGAAAGGGGATGCTCATCATTAGCAAAAGATTCACTCTTCAAACATGTCTCCTTTTAATAACAGAGTTGCTCTAAAAGGACATAGAGATTTCACATTAACAACCCTTTCCTCCCCAGTAATCAGCATTCATAAGAATAGAATGGTGTGAAATTCTTCATTTTTAAATGGACATTTTACTTATTCTTTGGATATTTTACAACATTCCCCCCTAAAAATACCCAACGGGTAGCGCCGTCTTTAATTTGCTATAAAATGAATTTAAAATATCTGGATTTTTAAAATACAAAACTAAACCAGCAAAGAACCTTATAAAAGAATAGCCTGCTGTCTGTTTCTGCAATTGCCTTTACAGGTGTCATACATTGCTGTTTCATGTGGATATTGAATAGGTAAGAACTAATGTGCTAAGCAAAATGTAATATGCAAAATGTCTGATTGCTAGATAGCCATTATGCCTCTATGTAAAATGGATATGAACAAATTTCTTTCCTCACCCAGTACCTGTTTGTTTGAGTGCAAGGCCTTCAAGTCAAAGAGTGCATCATATACAGGATGTCTGCACACATACACACACAAACAGCTCAAAGTCATGAAGTCTCTGATAAAAACCTTTAATTGTTCACTTTTGGTATTTGGGCACTGAAAACTTAAAAATTAAGAAAAAAACCAAAAACCTATGAAAATTTCAGTGATGTTTAAGGAGCACTCATTCCCCTCCTTCTTCTGCACTGAGCATGGAGATCACCAACCACAGAAGAAGCAGCTGGCTTTTCTATCATAGGACTCAGGTACTGATCCAAAAATAATTCCAATTTGCTCTCTCTGCTGTCTTCCTAGCTAAGATCTACAGTGTTTTCACCTTGTCTGCCTTATACTAAAGACACATTTGAGCTTATTTAAACTAGAATTCCACTTCAAGTTTAGCTGTTCCTTTGGAAGACCTACAGCACTGGGACCAATAGACATATTCATGGATGATATGAAAAACGGTAAAAAGTAATCATTTATGGGATTCAGAATGAAATTCTGGTAAACATTGCTTCTAAAATTTAACAACAGTATTTAATTAGCTTTCTCTGAAGCACACAAATTGTCACAAAGCACTTCAAGATCTAATGACCAGATACAGCTCAGAAACGTTAAAGTTCTTGAGATTGAAATTCGCTGAAATCCCTGCGTGGGTTTGTCAAACAAGAGGCAAAACCCAGTGTTTAGCATAATCTGAAATGGTAGTGAGAAAGCATCATTTTGCCTTAACTCTAATGCAACTCTATTGTATCCACATTTTGAATGCTCTACAGTTTTGGTCTTAGTATCTGGAACAGGACCTGATAAAAGTTAGGGAAGATACATAGCAAACAATTGCAATTATTAAAGGGATTAAAGGTAGCGGCCGTCTTATGAGATCAGACTAAAAAATTATCAACTGGGAGAGCGCTGTGGCAAGACTTGTTTATGAAATCACAGAGGTGGCTAAAAAGATGAATACAGAACCATTTTTCACCACATTACAATTTTGGCTCATTTGGTGGAATTAAATTAAAACAGATAAAAATAACACATTACTTTAAACAGTGGCTAGTGTATTTTTAGACTTGCTGTTGAAAGAGGTTGTGGCAGCAGATCCCAACAGTAGGTTCAGACAAGAATTGGATAAGTTCACATACAAAAAATCCAAAAAATGGATAGTGAAAGGACTAAGCAACGATTTATCTTCATAAGAGCCATGGAAGCTAGGGGAGTACAAAGAACATGGTTTGAAGAAGGTGGCCAAGCTTGCGTGCACTCTATGAATAGTTTCTCCTACTGCTGCTGTTTCTATTTGTTTTTCTGTTTAGGTATGTATTAGCAAAACCTTGAAGGCCCCCTAGGGAGGGAGAGGGCTATAGGTAATGAAAACAAGGAGAAAAAATTGAACAGCAATGAACAACAAATGATAGAAAGGGAAGAGTTACAAGACTGGAAATACACAGATAGGGAACTGGAGGAGGGCATGAAGCAGAGAAGCCCTGACATCACCTGTCGCTTCTCGAAGGTTAACCAAGGAGCAGGTGGATGCTGCCCAATGATGCTCTGCCTGGAGGTGTGGAAGGATGACGGAATGAAAGGACAGAGGTCCCACTGTCACCAGGATGCCCCCATCAAGCTTACTTCTTTTGGTGATGTTAACAACCAACATGGGCAGGGCCTGGAAGCCGTTGATGAGGAGACCCTGCAACTGGAAAGGGTCTTGGTTAGGGAGCGTATAAATAAAAAGTTCAGAGGAAAGAGCGCAGCTAGAAGTTCAATGAGCATTTCTGGAGGAGAGATGGCAGCCTCCTCATTTGATGTACACACAAAATACCTGATGTGCACCAGGGTCTCTTACCCCTGTCTGAGACAAAAAAAAGACCCACAGTCCAACCCAGTGGGGCATTTCCCATGTTCATGTATGTTCTTAGACATCTTCATACTCTCTGAGGAGTGTGAATTGTAAAGGCCTCCATAGGTGAAAGTCACTGTTAAGTTACTAGTGCTGTTCTAAAAATAGTAAGGAATATTTAGGACAAAGAGTACTTAAAAAGAATTCGAAAACTTACCTAATCTCAGGTGTAGTTACAATAGGGTAGTAACCTTTTTAAAGAGAGAACTGAAAATTATGTGCAACACCACAATAAATGTTTTATATTCTTATTAAATTGACTGAACAGAAAATTTTGTTTTAAACTCATTATTTCATGTTCATTCTTTGCTGAAGTTAATTGTTCATTCATAGAAGGGGATTCCAACACAGATATTTCTCAGTGGTAAATGGTTTACCTTACTTAAGGTAATGCTCTCTTTTAATGATAAATGAGTTTTTCACCATTGTTTTTATTTAATTGGAGGATCTGTGAAGCATTTGTCATTAGCAGTTCAGAAACCTGTATTATTATAGGGACTCTGTAATTTTCTAATAAATACCATCTATGTTGTCCATCTTGATTTACAGCATCTATTAAAAGCCAAATTTGCTGATTAATGAATGGCTACAGTTCTAACATGATGCACAGAATTAGATTTTGCCTTACCAAATTTGTGACATCACAAAAGAAAGGTGCTTGTGGCAGAAGTCCTGTTGTGTTATCCTCTTCTTAGAGAGTGTAGTTGCACAAAACACTGGACACATTCAGATGATGCACTGTAGATAATTTCCTGCATTAAGACATTGAAAAGCTAGTTTCACTAGACTATAATGTAAGGATCCCAAAGCATTTGCTGAAAAATAAAGACTTCATTTTAATTTTAATTCCTATGTTATCAGTAAAAATAATTTTAAAAACAAAGATACCAATATGTACCACAAAGATTCTACTGAAAATTGTATCAAGTAACTGACGCAGATATAAACGGAAGCTGAATGTGACAGAATAGCAAAATTCCAGAACCAGGCACAGCTGGGATTGGGATGGGGGCAAGACTATACTTCTTTTATTACCGTCTCTGCATGGAAGCACAAGAAACATTAAACTGGGAGGAGGGAAGGGCAGAGAGTGGGGGAAGAAGTTTATTGTTCCTCTCTAGGAAACCTATGCATCAAGATTTTTTTGCCCCCGGTTCCTGGATTACAGAACAAAATGAAACAAATGTCATATTAAAAAGAGTGTATCAATTTCAGTAATACTGGACATAGCCTCCCTGCCAAGATCAGAAATACAAGGAAATGTCCACCATGTTAACTGCAAGGTGAGGTTGGTTGGTTCTATTACGTGAGAGTCCAAATGAAGAGAAGTGTTAGAAGTCTCCTCCATTTTTTAAAACTGGGACATGGGATGAAGACACATGGTTCTCAGAACTGAGCTTTAGGAGCAAAATATCGCATTGGAGACTACTCTGTGCCATGTCCTCCACTTCCACAAGCTTCCTAAATTATTATAATTCCTGAAGACTCAGACACTTCAGGGCCTTATAGACTGGAAACTGAATGCTGAATTTTCCCAAAACATTTTTTTCGTATTGATGTGAATGGTGCAGAGATGCAGTAGAGCTCATGTATCTTGCTTCAAAGGCAAACAGTAGCAACTGAAGCAGCAAATGGCCTTTGAGAGGCAGGTGAATTTATGAGGTTTGTTGACCATCTTTTCATCTTTGCTATGAGAAATAAAAGACATATTACTTCAATAGCAGTCAGATGGCCAAAAGAGGATAAGAGAGACTGAATGCATGCCAATACCTGAAATTATATATTAAATTATCTCATATCTGCTTGGCAATGGCACAAATTTTGCTGACATGATTTCTCTTTCTCTCTTACCCTCAGAATGAAAACAGGATAGAAAACAAAGAACTGAAGCTGTGAGGAAATGACTAGTTGATATTTGCTGCACTGCAAACATGGCTCTATAGGATTTTATTTTTCTAGAGAAAGGTGTGAAATAATTTTCATGCTACATTTCAAACTCAGCTCCAATTCACCAGCCTTCTGTACCAATTCTCAGATCAGTGTCATAAATTTCCGTTTCAAAATAGCAGCCTGTTTTTTCACTCTGGTCCTTAACTCACCCAGTCTTTCTTACCTCACGCTAGTTACTGTGGTAAACAGAGCAAAAGACTTGTGTAACTTCAAGCACATGAATAAATGCATCAAGGTCAGATCTTGATACTATTCCTTCATTGTTACACTATGCTGTGGTTTTTCATATCTTCAAATTCACTCTATTACAAAGAAAAAGCAAGCAAAAGAGATGATAAGGGTGTTTTTTTATGTTGGATATACCAGAAACTACATTTTGAAATCTTACTTTTCTCCAAGGCACAGAGTTCAGAGCCAGCCTTGAAACTCAAGACTCTATTGGGATTGTATACAACTAACCGCTTAATAAAATAAGTGCAAATATAAAATCTTTCAACATCTGACATTTGTTCTGTTCATCTGCATATTTTCTTGCTAATGTTAGGAAAAAAAATTCCCAAAACCCTAACTGCATCATTTTATCATCTGTGTTTAATGATTTTAAAAAGCAGACTCTTCATTTTTCTTCCATTTCAAGTCTGCCCCAACATTACTCTTTGGCCTCTTTAAGAGAAAGAGCAGTCATGTTATGTCCTGATTTCCCTTCAAATGAGACTAATGGTTTTACAAAACGGTCTGACCATTTGCTCCGAGTTTTTACACACTATATCAAAAACCATCACTGAACAGAATTAAATATAATAAATATGAATAGAATAATTAGGAAGAGTGTAAGTAATGCCAAAATGTTCATGTAGGATGCTTTCAGTTGAGGACTGTTTCAGGAATTCTGACAGTTCCACACAAAGCGAATTAACATAAGCATTATGTTACTTTTATCATCATAATAATAACAATTTAATGTAATCAGTGCAGTGATGAAGTGATGAGTCATTGCTCTAGGATGATGACCAAAGAATCTGGAAAAGGCTAACAAGTACAGTAGTCAGTGATGATTCCCTGCCTTTACTATTACTTCAGGAACTAATGAGACCAGTAATGAGAATAGTAGACAGAAAGAGACATTCCACCTTCAAGGCCTTGTTTGCACTGAGGCATTACTTAGATCAGTTCTACTTTACCAGACTTAGCACGGTTTAGAGCAGTAAGACATACCAGCAATCAGCAAGTTGTTGTCCAAGGCTCTCCCTGGTAAATGAAACAGAAAAGGCCAGTGCTTCATTCAGCACTGCTGTTCCACAACACAACAGACAGAGGTGCATACTTTTCTGCTACTGCAAGAGAGAGGGGAATTCTGGGAAAAAAAAAGAGAAAAAGAAAATCACAGTTTATGGCTAATTAAATTCAGTCTCCCTGTGAAATCTACTTCTGGGGTGAGGTAATTCAGAAGATCCTCATTTGCACAAAAGAATTTACTCCTAACTTCTTCCTGTTTTTCCCTGTTTCTTTGGGTCTGAATGACTAAGCTTTTCTACAGTCTTTTCTCAAGAAAATCTTTTTTTTTCCATCCAAGGAACAGCTGGAATAACTAGCCCTTTGTATTTTAAGTTATTCATTAAGGTTAAATGGCTTTATCTTCAAGCTTGTCCTGGGTAACTATTATAAGGTTAACCTTTCCATAGCAGTGAATCCAGATAAGACTCTCAGTTTTTTCTGAACCTGGCCAGACACAAACACACATGACTATGCCCTTGCTATGGTTCATAGCTGTTGCCTCAACATCTATTTTGATTTCCCAAAGCAGCACTGAACATCAAGGAGAAAAAGGTCACAAACCCTGAAAGGCAGAAGGACAGAGAGAACCTCATCATTTGTTTCTTTTTTATTGGTAAAACAGATAGTAATCTTCAATAGTGTCCAGATACAACTAGATTATTGTGAGTCATATAGGGGTAACAAAAACCTAGCAAACCCACACAAACCAAAATCCCAACCAGTCAGCTCCCTACACAGTCCTGCTTGGCAGAGTCTTCACCCCAGTCACATATCCCCACAGATCATCAACCCCAAATCTCTCACAAATCTGGGTGCTCCTTGGCAACTTCACCTAGAAAGCAGATTCTTTTCTGCTTTAGTTTCTCTTTTCAAATTAGACTCTTCAAATGCTTTCCTAAAGCTCCTTCCAAAAACAAAGGAAGAGGAGTGTGAAGCTCATACCTAAACCAAGGGACATTTACACAAATCCATTGGGTACAATTAGGCAGACTGAGAATTAAACAACTTCTTGTATCCACTGCTTTATGTAGTTGCTTGCTTTGGCAGTAAGAACCAAACATTGTTAGGTTTAATTACTCAAACAAACCACAACAGGATCATTTTAAAACACATTGTTGCCTCTTCCACAAGATGGAGTGCAGTGATAATATCTGAGAATTTTCAAATTGAATCAATATATCATGCCTCCCCTATGCTAGAAAAAGCCTTGAAAAACTTTATCCAACCACAGCAAAACAAATCAGAAGCTCCAGTGGAGCAGGTTCTCACTGGTTAGTTATGCCTGTTTCAGACGGGAGGAGTTCAGAGTGCATCCCACAAAACAAATAAGGTCCACAGGTTCTTTTCCTTATGCATTCCAAACGAGCAGCAGAACTTAACAGCAATTTTTCTCTGATGGGAAATTACAACCAAAAAAGTGCTCACACCCACTTGTTACACAAGATGTAGGAATAAAGAAATAATTTTACTCAGTAAAGAATTTTTTAAAGTTGTCATAAAGAATTGCTTTTTCTCTGTATTAGCTTTGCAGTTCTCAGCCTTGTGGCTGCCGAACTCAATCAAGACCTGAACTTCTCAAAAATCAAAGCAATATCAGTGCTTTGATTGGATGTAGCTGCTAGCATTCTGCTGGCATCCCATCCGCTGCATGCTTAAGAGATCCATTTGGGAGAATGAGAAGCTTCCTCATTCTCTTCTTTCATGGTCTGAGCTCACTGTGAGCAGTTGTGATCTGATGTAGAGACTTGTTAGCTGGCAATCAGGTAAATGCACTTGGAATAGAAAAAGGGTTTCTGAAAGACATTGTTTTAGACATCAAGTTTTGTAATACAATACAGAGTTTTCGTATCAGTTTACATCCTTGTATTTGTTATGATATAGTGAGTCTTGTCAATAATACATAATTACTGAAAGAACTACTGAAAACCACAAAAAGCTACCCGGAACCATGTAGACTTTGGCTTGAAACTACAATTTACGGCCTTGCACTTCTCAGCATCAGCAGTCACCCTATCCCAGTTCGGAAGCGATAGGGCTCCCAATGCCACATACTATGCGACCTTAACGTTGCTAACTATATCCTATCTGGCAAACCTTCCCCCTTACCAAGTTAGCTGTGACATAAAGGCTTGTGAAGGCTAGTCCTTAAAAATCATGTAGCACAACTCTCTGTGATAAAGCAACTCTTAGAGATATACTAATTTTCCCTTTATGTACACAAGGACTGCAGTACCACCAAGTACATACCATATTTATGTCCCTGCCCGGCAGGAAGCTTGGAGCTCCTCTGCATTTGTTAATCCTGCTTTTCAGCATCTTTTACCTCGGTTTTTAAAGACACGCCTCCAACTTTACAGGAACAGCGTGCTGGCGCTGGGCGGCGAGAATTGGAAGGGGTGGCCTTGCGGAGCGGCTCGGCCCAGCCCGAGCTGCCCGCTGGTGCGGAGCGGAGGGTCGGCGGGGCCGCTCCACCGGGAGCGCCCACGGGCACCGGGGGCGGTGGGACCCGCTCGGCCCGAGCGTGCGCGCGCCCCCGGGAGGCGGAGCCGCGGCGCGGGCGGGGCTCGGCGGCGCTGCGGCGGCGGGACGCGCGGTGCGGGGAGCGCTGCCGGCGCCGGGCAGGGACGGACGGAGGCAGGCAGGCAGGGAGGGGAGAGAGGCGCTGTCTCGCCTGCCTGCTCCTCAGTCCGGCGTTTCCGCGGCGCTGCTCTGGCAGCAGAGCCGCCGCCGAAGCCAATGGGGAGGCGGCGCTGAGCGGGCTGCCCTCCGCGGGAGTCGGCAGCCGAGGGCAGCGGCGCGGCTGGCGAGCAAGCAATGCCTCTCACTTCTCCGCTTGCGCTTCCCTTCCTCCTCCCGCTCCCGGCTCTGAAGCTTTTGTTTTCCCCAGCTGCTGCGATGGCAGGAAACTTCCCGGAGGGATGGGTTCAGGCCGCGCTTGTGCTGCGCCGGGCTCCGCAGGGCACCGGCCGCGCCGAGAGGTGAGCCGAGCCGGGGCGAGGAGCGCTGCCGGGCAGCAGCGGAGCAGCTCCGCGGGGCCGGCGGGACGGGCGGCAGGAGTGGGGAGAGAGTTGCGCCGGGAGCGCCCCACGGTTATGCCGGTTCGCCCCAGCCGGGATCCCGCGGCCAGGAAGCCGCTCCAGCCCCGAGGAACGGTATCCGTGGGCTAGGACGGTTCGGGGGCCGGCGCCCCGAGGAGGCTGCGTGGGCACCGCGGAGCCGGGCGCCCCCTCTCCCGGTGGAGCCGCCGGAGCCGCGGGCGGGCAGCGGGGGCGGGAGCGCTGCCAGCCCCAGGTGGGCGCTCTCGGCCGCGTCCCATGGCCCGTCGGGCCGCCCGCGGGGGGTTTCCTTCTCCTCCTGCTCCTCCGTCGGCGGTGGTGCCGGCGCGGAGGCGGCGTGCGGGGGCCGCGCTTCCGCCGGGGTTCCGTCCCCGGGAGGTGGCCTGGCTCCCCTCGGCTCTCCTGGACCGGCCCTCCGGGCCGCCGGTCAGGGGCACGGGGTGAGGCTGGCTTCTTGCTGTCACCTGCTTCTTTAGGCTCCTGCTTGTGAACAACTCTTGAACCTGCCGGTGTCAATACGGTGTGCGTGTGGCTCCTGGAAAAAAAACAGAGGTGCCTCGCTTGATTTTGATGATTTTTCATCTACTTAGACGAGTATGTCATTTTTATTTGGGTGTGCTGCATGGTTTTCCTCATACTTGCTTTGTAAAAGTCGGATAATACAGTGCAGCCTACTGTGTATATATATATATATATATGTATGTATATATAAAACCCAAAGCATATAATTAAGTTTTCCTCGTAAATCAATAAAAACACTTTTCCAAGAAAACAGTTGATTTACATAAAAATTTACAGGTAACATACATATTTTAAATGGTCAGAGCAAGTTAGATCCATGCCCAAGAGGGTTGTTAAATGAAATTGTTTGTCCTTACTGAAATCATGAATGCTTAAGCAGTGGCAAAAGGGTTTTGCATAATGCATTTTCTGTGGGACATCCTACACATTCTAACATTAGAGCAAAGGTGTCAGAGGCATCAGATTATAAAAAGGGCAGTTTTAACTAAACTGTTTCTAGATAGATGAAAATGTAAAAAAACTTCAGATTTGTTTCAAGATTAATAACATGGAATAGCTGTGTATTGTCAGTTGTCAAATGTGTTTTTACTGTTGGGTTTTTTTGCACAGTTCTCTATTGTGAAAATGTATTTGCCAAAATTGCTGTAGCTCCAGGATAACATAATAGACTCACCAGTAATTACATTTTTAGTCTACAGAAGCAAATTTGGTAATGACTAATAATTAGAAGAAAAATAATTTCTAAATAACCGTAATTTGAAATATTTACTGCCAAATGATCAGCCCTCAGAAGCACAGCCTCTTACACTATTCTACATTATTCATGTAGAGGGTAGCCTTACTGTAAGAATGCATTCTAAATGTGTAAATTTTGTCTTTTTTTAAACTGAGAAAATAAATGAGACTGTGGAAATTAGTAGATCATATGCAAAGTCTGCCTACTCAGAGGAAACAGGAAGAAGCTAAGATGAGCTCTACTAATTTCTAATTTTCTTCTTGTGTGCTACAGTGCGTAGGTGACTTTTGTCAGGTGGTGCTGATCAGGCAATGCTTATACGCTTCATCGTTGCATTTGCCACTTTTAAAATATTCCTTTAGGAATAATAGCAGATGAAGCCTGGAGAGGCTATGACCACTTCTCTGCAGCTAATTAAATGCACCCAAGGCTGTTTTCTGGTTCTGAAGCCAACTCTTGTGGATTGGCCCTTGTCGATGCTGCTAAACTCTCCTGCCTTCCAGAGTGGGATAGCTGAGTACAAGCTAGTGATTGTGACTGGCACCTGGCCTGTGTTAAATCCCAAACCGTACCTCAAAATTGCATGTAGCTGCCCTGTGTTAGAAGAATGCTGTGCCAGTCTGACAGTTCATCAGTCTGTGACTGAGGGAATTCTGTTTCCTGGGAATAGTTCCTGGCACTGCTTGATTTACTAGTGTGGACATAGTCTATCTGTAACATAGTCCATCTGCAGGTAGCCTTCCTTAACTCTGTACTCAATCATAGTGATTTAATTTCTGTTCATTGAGGATCTCTGACACTATAAAATGCTGCTTTTCATAGTCAGCTGCTTAGAACTGGCAGAGCTTTCTTCCTTTCATCTCCACTTGTACACGTGGGTGAAGAGGGAGTAGGTGAATGCGTGGTGGCTTTCCCACTTCTCAGTAAACGAGAGGTAAACAGGATTAGGGAAAGGCTTATGTGACTTGTTCTGCTTGTCTGGAAATATGTTCCCAGGGCAGTGCGTGTCCATAAGCAATCGTGATGGCTAGATGTGAATGCAGTCACATGGTGGTTTGCTACTTTCCTAATGTGTTACAAGTAGCAAGTTAGGCAGAGCAAATGTTGGGGTTTTTTTCAATGCTCTAAAGGGTGTCAAACTTCATTGTTACAAATGAGGAAAGTGAAGCAAGAGGAAGTGTAACTATTATCTGAGGAAGCATAGTTGTAGGATCCAGAAGTAGAGTCTCAGATTGAAAATTGTTCTGTCAGGTTGCGGTGCTTCTCATAGACATATAAAGTACTTTAATAGAATGGTGTACTTCTTATCTCTGTTATTTGCTGGCAGCCTTTATTTTACTAACCTAGCTAGTAGTACAGTTTGAACTTAAATAGGGTAATTGTTTAACTATCTCATTTCCAGTTGAGAATAACACTTAGATACTTATGTAACCTTACATATGTGATGGGATTGGGTAAATGTTCTAAAGTGCTTTCCCAAACCGGCAGCTCGGCTCAGTGAAATTCCAGTTGATTTCATATGAATGAAACCTTGTAAAATACAGTTCTTAATATTGAGACATTTCAGTGTGTGCTTTAGGAGAAAGTTGAGCTATCCATTTTTTTTTTTCATATGTAAAAACACTGATTCAACAAGGTGACACATTGTCAGTGTCTGAGTCCCACTGGTCTGAATGGCACTTTGAGAAATCTCTTGCATAGCTGTAACCTAATTTACATCAATCTAGATGTTTATTATACACAAGCTGTGTTTAAAAGAATACTGTTAAGACACATAAGCCCAGAAGTGTTTGGAAATTTAAAGCTTTGAAGTGATGATGATGTGGCCTTTGGGAACTGTGCTTTATACTGTCCGGGACCAGTTTTTTTCAGAGCACTTTGCATCTCAAATCAGGCAACCAAAATTAAAGAATGGTTATGATTTTTGTATCTCTTCTTTGATTTTTCTCCTCCTGGGAGTTACTAAAGCAAGGCTTGAATTGTGTTGATTAGGTATGACATAGTGACAGAGAATAATTGTGGAGAAAGCAAGGTTTTGGACACTTGTTCATCTTGGTGACTAATGCACTTTCTAAAGGAAGCTGGATTCTGTGTGGATAAGTAGTATTTAGTCACATAGTTAAAGGCTATATCTTAGTGTTTAATTTCAGTTCTATAACTGCTACTTCTCAAGGCTTGAGAAGAGCTTGACTTTTGAACCATGATAGCATTAATTTTTTAACATCATTTTTGGGTGTATAATTTCCCCAGTGCTTTTTTTTTTTTTACCTCTAAAACAGATAGAAGTAAAAGGTGTATTTTTTTTTCTGGGGTATCTTTGATCACTTCTTATGTCCTAAGCAGAGTTAGAACTCTCTAAATGCCAACTCAGGCTGTAACTGTCCAAGCTGTAGCAGTAGGTCGTGATCAATAGGTGGATTGACAATGAAGGGAAACAGCATACTTTAAACATGGATTATGAAATGACCCACATTACCTCATAATTTTTATGTAATATGATGTCACTGACTTAAGGAGGATGGTGAAGCTTTAATGATTCGTTTCCATTCTGTTGTCCACAGGGCAATGCTGTCTGGTGACTTTACTGTTGTTTTCCCTGCAATATTTTACTGACCTGTTTCTTCTGGACCATCTTGTTGCCCAGCTGCTGCCTACATTTTTCTGCCAGATCCTTTTCTTTGTTGATGTAATATATAATTTGTAGTTGCTAGTCACTTCTGTTGGCCAGTTAGAATATTTTATCCTAATCTAGCATGCAGCCCTCTAGTTGCATGGGTCAGCTGGCCAAGCAGATCAGGTCAAGAAAGCAAAGGGGAAACAGGCTTTCAGATCCTATGCTTAGATTTTGCAGGCTTTCTTGAGGAAATAAACACTGTTATAGCCTGAGTGGACTGAGGTTGGAGCATAGAACTACAGAATAATTGAGAGTGGAAGAGGCCTCAGGAGGTCGTGTAGGCCACCACTTGGCTCATTGCTGAGCCTGACTGAAAGTTAGATGAGGTTGCTCAGGATCATGTCCACTTGAGTTTTGAATATCACGGAAGATGGAGATTCCAGAGCCTCTGTGAGTAACCTATTCCAGTGCTTGACCACTGTCACTATGAAGCTTTTTTCGTAAGACCTAATTGAAGTGACCCATACCGTAGCTTGTATGTGTTTTCCCTTGTCCTTTGTTGTGAACCTCCAAGAAGAGTCAGATTCTTGTGCTCATTAAAAGCAAAAAATATTTTTCAGATGCTTAATAACACTCTCTGCCATGAATATAGATAGCTTTTGCCAAGCATGTGAAAACCTATCCTCTTCCAGTCAGGTTTGCACACCTTATTCAATAGCAGGCTGATCAAATCAGTTGAATAACTTTTTTGTTTATGTGGACAAAATAAAAATCTTTTGATAGCCTTGCTTTTTGAAACAGATGTGATACTCGACATTTCTCCTTTCTTTCTCCGACATGATCGTGCATTGTATTTTCCATCAGGTGACTGCCTCATTGTGTGCAGTGAAGGGATGCTGGTGGTTTAGGAGGTAAATCTAAGTCTTCAAGCTGAGCTTCTGAAAGACAGTTATCTTGTCCTGTGATTGTGATATTTTTTTTTTTTCAACCTTGTTAGGTGTATGGACCCCTGCATAGCAAATTTAAACCCACTGACTATAGGCTACCTTT